ATCGAGACCCAAATAGACTTCTTACTTGCAGACACCTCTGCTCACTAACTTCTTAGGCCTTGAGATGTTCGATAGACAGGCACAGACAGACTTAAACTTCTTTTTAGACAGTAACCCTCATCTGACTCTGGAAAGTATTCTTTGAATCACTCCAGCTTTTCCATGAGTACGGATTCCTTGGATAAAGAGACCCAAACAGAAGGGATCTCTGTTGCTAAAAGTATACCTCCACTAGAATGCAAAGTGAAGTTGATTAGTACAGAAACCTAGACCAGTTTTGTACTTCAGCAGTTAGTTCTTCACCAGCAATGAAACACAGACAACAATAGGTGACTTTCTTCTGGCTGATCTGTGGAACACAATGGAGTCTCAGTTCAGTTCTGTAGAAACCCAGACAGATGCGGAATTACACACCGTCTCCAACTTCTGAGCCAAGTCCCCATGCAGGTCCGCCGCAGGTCCACATTTAGTTTCCTTTTGGGCTGAGTAAATGGGGAATAGGAAAAACAGTCTGAACTGTTGAGGTAGTTGTTGATGCCGTTGCTTAGATTCTTTGCGGGTCTTTGCCTTTTGTACTTGTAAACCTGAATTTGTTTATAAATGTTGAGTGTAGTATAAACTATAAAATGCTGATTTAAAAATAAATTAAATTATATTAAACTTTTTTTTTTTTAAAAAAAGGAAGATGATCAAACAATATGGAAATAGTTGAACATTACTGCATGCTAACAAAAAGTTAATTGAAGATCATTCCAAAACATCTACATACATTGACAGGGAATTGAAAGAAGTTAAAAACTGATTTAAAATAGAGAATGCCAGATAGATGCTTATATGTATTTTATTAACTGCTTGAAAACATTTGACTATGTAGATCATAGAAAAATACAGATAGCATTGTACAGAATGGTAATTCCAGAACAGTTAATTATGGTCAAGTAAGCCTTGTACATGAATGAAGAGGCCATCATTTGAAAAAAAAAACAATTCATATTATGTTGCTTAAAATACTGTGTTACCAGTTTTGCACTACTTCACATACAAATTCAATTTATAAATTAACAAAATAAGCTATATGAAGAAAAATGCTGCATTAGGATTGAAGGAAGACTCATTAATGATTGAAGCAGATTACATACAACTTGGTTACTGAAAATTAAGACAACTTTAAGCAATTACTGATGAAGATTTAAAACTACAGCTTTCAGTTTGGATTATAGCTGAAAATAAAGAAAATGAAAATACAACTGAGTTAGTAAACAGCACCATAAAAAAATGGTAAAGCAATTAAAGTTAATTGTGCTCATGAGGAATCTGTATTTGGACCAAGAGGCAGTTGTTTGAACAGAACATGGGAACACTGATTAGTTTAAAATTAAGAAAGGTGTGTAACAAGGTTGTATTCTTTCACCATACTTATTCAACCTGTATGCTGAGTAAATAATCTGAGAAGCTGGGTTCTATGAAGAAAAATGTGGCATCAGGGTGGGAGGAAGAGTCATTAACAACTTGTGATAATACAACCTTGTGTCCTGAAAGTGAAGAAGACTTAAAATACTTATTGATGAAGATCGAAAATCAGAGCCCATAGCCTTCAGTATGGATTGCATTGCATCTTAATGTCAAGAAAACAAAAGTCCTCACCACTGGACCAATAAGCAACATTCTTATCAACAGAGAAAAGGTTGAAGTTGTCAAGGACTTCATTCTTCTTGGTTCAAC